GAGGTTTTGCTAGGATGTATTTAAACTAGGAGGAGGGAGAGGCAAAAGGGTGATAAAACATCAATCCAATTGCCCACCAAAATAAGGACAGAAGGTGCCTGTAGCAAGTGTGTTAAAAAATGACAAGCTTAGAGTCATGTCTACAAATGCTTGCCGTTTAGGGAATAAGATCCATGAACTTGTGGCAATAATGGCAACTGATAATGTAGATTTAGTCGCTGTTACTGAGACATGGTATAATGAGAAAAATGAATGGGACATAGCAATACCAGGGTACTCTTTATATAGAAAAGACCAGGAAGGCAAGAAAGGGGGAGGGGTGGCCCTGTATGTGAAGGATAGCATAAAATCTAGCCTAATAAAAGTTAGTGAGGCGAACATAAGGTCCATTTGGGTTATGTTAGAATTTGGTAATCACACAGTAACTCGTGTAGGTGTGATTTATAGGCCACCAGGACAAATAGAAGAGTTAGATAATCTACTAGTTGAGGAAATAGCTAAAAAGACCATGAAGGGGGAATTTATCATCATGGGTGACTTTAAACTTCCTGATGTGAACTGGAAAACCAAAATAGCTGCTTGTGCCAGGAGCACACATATTCTAAACTCCCTACTGGGATTGTCTCTAAAACATGTCATTGAGGAGCCAACTCGTAAAGAGACCATACTAGATTTAGTGTTAACAAATGGAGATTTAGTATCAGATATTACTGTAGGTGAAATTTAGGATCCAGTGATCATCAGTTGGTGTGGTTTAATATAAGAAGAGTGACTGAGTCACACCGCACAAAAACAAAAGTTTTAGACTTTAGAAAAACAGACTTTTTTTAAAATTAGAATATGTGTAAAGGAGTCATTATCAGACTGGAGCAATTTTCTCCAGTGGGGAGGTATTCATGCTTTTGCGGCAGTAAGCAGATGTCATAGGATAGACTTCTTGTATATTGAAATGTGCTTGGGTGTTATGTCCACTTTAGCTATTTTGACCCTAAATATTAAACTCAATTTGAATTAACTTTTTAGTGAATAGCACTGCCAGGATTAAAGGAAAGTCTGGGCTAAAACATACATATTTTTAAGGTGCTTAAGCAAGGCAGTTAAAATAAAAAATATGTATGTATTAATTTTTCAAAAATATTTTTCTAAGTCAATAAAATCCTACCTTTTTTGCAAGTTCTGTAGCTACATCCATTTTGCAAGCATTCTCGTTGAAGCTAGACAGTATCCGATCAAATGCTTCTCACATGGAAGCATGATGGGTATAGTGAGCGCATTTGGAAGCTATACAAAAAACATACATAAAAGAGATATTAGTTAGAGAAATATGTAACATTGTTAATTCACTGAATGTTTATATAGCATATTCCCAATGAATATAACTACTGATAATGTTGGGCAGAATGTACCCTCTATGCTGTATACATCTCCCATAATTCTCAACATATCATAAATTAGACTAAAACTAATGGTGTTTTAATTGACTTTGCATTTTTCTTGTATCCAGATGATTTTTATTTATTTTTTTAAAAAGGGTGATGATGCTAAAAGAATATTCAAAGCATCATAATAAACCATGCTCCTGCTATAGGTTATGTTACTTGAATGACATTCAAAAATCATTGCATCTCTAAATCCATCGCTCAAGAGAGAAATTTCACAAAAGGAAGCCAACACCTTACTTCCCCCAGCTTCTCTAACAGATCTGTAGAGATTTTATACTTTGAGCTGTAGAATCACAGCTGTGTCTATAGCTCTATTCACAAAGTAAGTTATGATTGGTATCAGCTTAGACAACAATTCCATTGATATTATTTGAGGAGTCTTAAACAATTATTATGGATGGGTTCTCTTGGTGTCTAGGGCATCTGTGTCCAACTCCTCAGATTCTGAATCTGGTGGCACCACCATTTTAGGTTGGCTCCATCCAGGCGCTCTGGAGAGAAGCACACCAGTATTTTTTGAGTTTTTGTATCAAATATCTCGACACTCTGCTTGTACCCACAGTTTCTCATGTTCTTTAGCCAAACTCTATACAAAATGGTCTATGTAGGAGCTCTCTTAAAACGTGTGCAACTCAATAGGCAGCAAACTCCGCCTCCTGTAATTGTTCCATTTTAAACGAATCATAGTAATGCATGTTGCAACATGGTTCATAAAAGAGTGCCTGTATGTAAAAGTGTTATTTGCTAAGCATTCATCTGCATACAAATATGAGATTCTATTTCCATCCAAAAGATATCTAGACAGGGTCTACTTAGAGCATCAGTGTTATCATAAAAGGGACACACCAGATGCTTAAAGCACTTCAATTGGAATTAGTGCTGGCTGTCAATTAGAAAATCACTAGAGTTGCTTCCTCTGCAATAACCGACTTAGACTTGGTTATTCATTCAATGCTTTTCATGGAGAGCATTTGATTGGAGCATTTCGGCCACGGAAGAAGTGCAGAAAATGCAAAATATAGGATTGCGCTGCACATGTGGAGATTAACCCTTCTGCAGCTGGAGTAACTAACTCCACCTCCAGCAGCATAGAGGTGTCATTAGCTGGCGGCTAACTAGAGACCTGTGTGGCTAATATTAATTCAGTGCAAAAATGGCATCTGACACAAGCACACTCAACATGCTAGAGCCACACAGCCAAAGTTGTCTCTGTACCTCTGTTACATGCCACATTCTATCCTCCATAACCTTCTTCCCCCTCTGTGATGAGCGTGCTGAGGGATAATTTGTTGCTGGAGAGTAAGGTAAGTTTTAGCTGCCTATTTTATTTTTGGGTGCGGTGGATAAGCAGGGTAAGGGTTACTTTAACCAAAATCAGTGTTTTATGATAGATAAACACACAGGAAGGTAGGTACTGGTTAGTCCCCTTCTGTGATTTTATGGTGTTAAAGAGTTAAACAATTATATATATATATATATACAAACACACACACACACACACATGGTCTGTTCAGCCATTGTTAATATAATGAAATGATTTGCACGACATCGATGTAACCTGACAGCCAAGGAGAGTGGACCAAAAATGCACATGCGTGAACAATGACGATTCCTTTGTACTAGTCAGTGGGGGCACTAGACACCGTTGAGTGGGCATGTGTACTCTGTGGCCATCTCATTCAAATGGCTGAGTGAGTAGTGCAATAAATCTGCATTAAATTTTACATTAAGCTTGAACTTGCCACCGTGGAAACTATTTGGATGATTCAAAAGGATTTCAAGGATGATGCAATAAGTGCAGCGCATATTAAAGAATGGCACAAATGCTTCAAAGATGGTAGAGAAAGTTTTGGCGCCATGCAACTTCTGGCTTCACCCATAACTAAAATCACCTATGAAAGGGAAGAGATTTCAAATTGTCAATAAGATTCAGGTAACTACGTAGGGCAACTGATGGCAAGTCTAACAAAAGATTTTGCAGAGCGTTTTGAACAGTGGAAGAGATGCTGGGATAACTGTGCGAGGTCCAAAGGTGCCTACTTTGAAGGCAACTAATGCGTCATTTCCCTATGTACAATGTTTCTTTTATCTTGTATCTTGTTCAATAGATGTCTATTTTTCATATTACATGGCTGGATACTTTCTGGAAAGACCTTGATTTTTATATACAGTACATATGTTTTTCTTTTTTTTTTTACAAAAGGAGGAAACCAGTAGAGTTCAAAAGTTGGAAAGAAAAAGGTGAAAATATACTATTGCAGATAGGAGAAAACACACAATTTTTGTAAGGTATCAGCAAAACTTTTAAGGTAAATAAAAATAGGGTACATTCTTACTGTGTTATAAACTTAAAACAAATCTTCTCGTATTGTAACCAAGTATATGTTTTTGTATACACAAGACAGAAGTTTATATCTGTGCACAAAGAACTTCTGCCTCACCGCAACTCCAATCAATACTATCGACCATAACTTTATTATCTCAAATAAAACATTTTACTTTTAAGCACAATTTTGCTGTAAAATATATTTTGCTATTTAACTGTAATAAATAGGTGCATGACATTTCATCATACACTAATTGGACTTTCCGGGCGGATTAGAGCTTCTAAAAATTGAATTACTCTCATTAATGAATGTAACTATTATTGAATACTGCAGCTAGTGCTTTTTCAGTTTTAACAAGTATCTCCTTGGGTAATATTTGCAATTCACGCAGCCATCAACGCAGCCCAGAGATAATTGTCACTTTGCATGTGGATACATCTCAGATGTGAAAATTCATAGGTGATAGAATTGTAAAGACGCTTTCACAGTTTCTACACAAAAGATAGCGAGATACAAATGTATTTCTGAACACCAGAAAGATATTAAAAGAGTTGATATATTACAGGTAGCAAGGTTGGATTTCATTCTTCCTTGTTTTATTATTAAAATAATATTTACCTTAAATATAAACAAGTGGTACGGTACAAGCAATATTGCATTTTAAACATGCATAGTCTCATATCTAGAAGATAATCGTTAAATTATATGAAACGTAAACACTACACAAAGCTGATGAAATAAAAAAATTGTACCACTTCCAAAAATAACAAAAACTTGCATTTGTTTATAAAACTGTTAAAGTTAGAATGACTTTACTTGAGTTGACATACAGTTGAGTTGACATCAGGGGCGTATTAGCCGCGAGGCAAACAAGGCATTTGCCTTGGGCGGCATTTTTCAGGGGGCGGCAAAAAACGCAGCCCCCCAAATGCCCAGGGCAAATGCCTAGTTAGCCTCGCGGCTAACTGACATCCCGGGCGGGCGGCGCTGGCAGGCGGGCGGCTGGCGAGGGAGCACTTCCTATGAGCTGACTGCTCAGCTCCCTCGCGTGCCGCAGAGTGAGCCTGGGAGCCGGAAGCCACTGGACCACCAGGGAGAGAGACCCCCCCCAGCACTCCCAAAGGTAAGGAGGTTGGGGGGGGATTTAAATAAAAAAAAAAAGGTAATGTGTGTGTTTGTGTCTGACTGTGTTTGTGAGTGTGTGTGTGTTTGTGAGTGTGTGTGTATGTGTCTGAGTGTGTTTGTGTCTGACTGTGTATGTGTCTGAGTGTGTGTGTGTTTGTGTCTGACTGTGTTTGTGTATGTGTCTGACTGTGTGTGTTTGTGACTGTTTGTGTCTGACTGTGTTTGTGTCTGACTGTGTGTTTGTGAGTGTGTGTCTCTGACTGTGTGTGTGTGTGTGTCTGACTGTGTATGTGTGTGTTTGTGTCTGACTGTTTGTGAGTGTGTGTGTGTTTGTGTCTGACTGTGTTTGTGTCTGTGTATGTGTCTGAGTGTGTGTGTGTTTGTGTCTGACTGTTTGTGTATGTGTATGTGTCTGAGTGTGTTTGTGTATGTGTCTGACTGTGTGTGTTTGTGACTGTGTGTGTTTGTGTTTGACTGTGTTTGTGTCTGTGTATGTGTCTGAGTGTGTGTGTGTGTTTGTGTCTGACTGTGTTTGTGTATGTGTCTGACTGTGTGTGTGTTTGTGTGTGTGTTTGTGACTGTGTGTGTTTGTGTCTGACTGTGTGTTTGTGAGTGTGTGTGTCTCTGTGTGTGTGTGTCTCTGACTGTGTATGTGTGTGTTTGTGTCTGACTGTGTTTGTGAGTGTGTGTGTGTTTGTGTCTGACTGTGTTTGTGTATGTGTCTGACTGTGTGTGTATGTGTTTGTGTGTGTGTCTGACTGTGGTGTTTGTGTGTCTGACTGTGTGTGTGTCTGACTGCGTGTGTGTCTGACTGTGTGTGTTTGTGTCTGACTGTGTTTGTGTCTGTGTATGTGTCTGACTGTGTGTTTGTGTCTGTGTATGTGTCTGACTGTGTGTGTTTGTGTATGTGTCTAACTGTGTGTGTGTGTATGTGTCTGACTGTGTGTGTGTGTTTGTGTCTGACTGTGTGTGTATTTAGAAGGTGGGGCGGGGGGAAGGGTTGGGTGGGGGTGGCACGGGGGCAGGGGGGCGCCTGAGTTTTGTCCTGCCTAGGGCAGCACAAAACCAGGATACACCACTGGTTGACATACAGTTGAGTTGACATACAGGCCTAATCTAATATCCTCTGCTAAAGTTTGGAAGTGCTTCGTATTTCTGAAAAGTAGCAAAACAAGAGAGGGAGGGAAAATTATGTGAATGATGACTGGAATCTTGACCAATAAGATAATTCCTGGCACGGATGTGTAAGTGGTTGTGGTGGCAGTCCAGGCACTGGAAGCCCTATAGATGTGTATGTGGTTGTGCTGTTTAGGGTTAGGGTTAGGGAGCCCTATAGATGTGTAAATGGTTGTAGTGACAGTCTGGGCAATGGGAGCCTTATAGATGTGTAAGTGGTTGTGGTGGTTAGGGTTAGGTTAGGGATTAGGGTTAGGGTGCCCTACAGATGTGTACGTGGTTGTGGTGGTAAGGGTTAGGTTAGGGGTTAGGGAGCCCTACAGATGTGTAAGTGGTTGTGGTGGCAGTCCAGGCACTGAGAGACCAATATATGTGTAAGTGGTTGTGGTGGTTAGGGTTAGGGGTTAGGGTTAAGGTTAGAGAGCCTTACAGATGTGTAAGTGGTTGTGGTGGCAAAGTGCTTCAGATTTCCAAAAAGTGGCAAAACAAGAGAGGGATTCCTACGAATGTCTGAATTGCCAAAGTTCCAAATTGCTGAAGTTCTGAATTGCTGAAGTGCCGAACTGAACCAAATGCCATTGGTCCGAATTGCCGAATCAGACAAATTTTTTTCCTTATCCGAATTTCTGGACCGAACCAAATTTTGCCCATGTACATCCCTATTAAAAATCTTTATTTTTTTATTTC